ACCCTTTGCTTCGCAAAATTGTCCTTCTCGGATTCAGACATAGCATATTTTTTATATCCATTGTTCTCTATGTGGAACGTTGCTATGGCATATAGTTTTGCATCATCGTATCGTGAGTGAGTTCCATATACACATGGAGTCCGCATCTCAGATATTACTTTCCAACGATCACAGACATTTACTTGTCTTACTGCCAGTAAATATCAACAGATCAAGATACAAAGCCTTTACTTGATCATTTCCAGCCTGTAGCGTTATATCATAGAGGTACAGAATGATTTTGAAGGCATTTAACCCACATTTTACATTAATTTCTATGTAATCGCTATGCTTGTTTTTTGTATAAGCCCTTATTTCCATTGACAAAAAAAAAACTCTCATAGCCTTTTGAAAGTGTTACAAATTTAATTCGTGACACTTCCCCTGTCTGGTCGCAACAGCAACACTGGCAATGTTTCTACGCTGTTGCCAAAGGTACGACTCCTCGAGTTGACGATTCTGATTTTATTTTTGAATTGCATGGAATGATTAATCACTGTTTTACTGATATTACATTACCAAATAGCAATAAATACATCTTAAAATCACAAATCAAATGATGGAAGACATTTGAAGATGCGCGGGCTCTACTATCTATCTATAGACACTGGTTTCAAGCATTATACTCCTTTGAAAATTCTGAAAAAGCCACTATTTATTAAATGATATGAACGACATTTAAAAGGATATGTGAGTTTATGCCTTCATAGGATGTTTGTACATGTACAAAGGACATTTAATTTCTAAGCACCTGGTATGGTCTGTAACCTCTACCAAGCCTAGTACATCTGTGTCAACGCTTTGCACTGATAGTAAGGGGAAACAATAACCCACACTGTACGATGAATCATTTTACTGCCTGGTACATTATCTAGTACGGGTTTTAAAGTGCCAAAATGTGACAATCAAACTATTGTTTCTTAAATCAGGTTGACTAATAACCGATAGCACCAGATAACTAACACGCAGGTCCTTGTGTTGTTCTCATTGGTTATACAGTCGAGCATACTCACTGTTTCTACCCATAAACCTGGATCGACAAAGATTTATGGTTGTGTTGTCCATAGCCATTGTACATATTGGTCTGCCAGGAAACACATTGTCTGTAATATGGCTAATTTATGCATTATGAAACTGGATTTATGTACACAGACAGGAGTTTACATTCTGAGTACTTGCCGGTCTTTATTCAGTTTTTTTCTTGGCAGAATATGGATGACCGTGCTAATACACCTAAAGAAGGTTTCATTATTCTGGTAAGTAAATGCACCAAACATCTATATATTCCATGTCGAGAAATATTCAGAAGAAAGCATATATCAGGTGTACTTTATAAGGTTGTCAGAACAAGTTCGCATACAACACACTCTTCCTGTCTCTGCGTTCACAGCCGAGGCCCTTCGAGGAGACCAATCCCGACCGAGTCGAGGCCGGCGAGCTGTTCGACAAGGACATGCTGCTGACGGAGGCGCAGTGGAGGGACCTCGCCTTGAGGAAGGGCCTGGCCTCTCAGAACTACCGTTGGCCAGAAAAGGACGGCTTCCCATACGTGCCTTACCGTTTCATTGACAGTGTGTGAACCTCTGTATATATTACATCAGAAATTAGTTTGTCTTCATAATTAAATATTTTCTTTGTAAAAGAGAGCAGTGTTTCCAACGTTGGGGAAATTGACCGCAGATTAAGAAATCAGGGTGCAAATACAATTTGAAAACTTTTCTTTGTCTAATCCAGGGAAATTTCAACCCAAGCCTAGGGGAATCCTGTTCTGCCTTTGTAGGAGACAAATCGTTGATCATGAAATCCCCTAAACGCAGGTGAGGTGGACCAGGAGGCAGTCATGGCTGGCATTGCGCATTGGGAGCAGCGAACTTGCATCAGGTTCGGCCTGACCACCAACTTCAACCAACCACACCTCAAGTTCCAGAAAGGTTCCGGATGCTGGTCATATGTTGGGTATATCTCTGCGTCTACCACTGGCCAAGACATCTCCATCGGTTTCGGGTGCACATCTGTGAGTCCAATTGCATCACAAGTACATGCATTATATGTACACGAGTAAACAGCAAATAAAAGATGTAAATTACAGTAAACACATGGTCCTATATGTCGTCCAACATTCTCGACTCCCCCTCCTGCAGCTCGGTATAGTCGCCCACGAAATCGGCCACGCCATCGGCTTCTACCACGAACAGTCCCGCCCGGATCGCGACGACAGCATCCACATCAATGAGGAAAACATCGTGGACGGAAGAGAAAACAACTTTGCCAAGATATCCGACAGTTTTGTGGACAGTCAAGGAATTCCATACGATTACTCAAGTGACATGCATTACAGCGGATTTGTAAGTATTCTTCAATCACTTGTGGAGTCTTCTCTATGAACAGGACACCTGGGTTGACTTCCTTTTGCATGAAAGTGACGGCAATCTCACTAATGTATTCTAACCAAGAGCCGTTCACCCCTCAGGACTTCTCGAAGAACGGCCGCCTGACCATCGCCACGGTGGACCCCCGCAACCAGGAGCTGATCGGACGTCGCGACGGCCTGTCGCACCGGGACACGCACCTCGCCAACCTCATGTACGGATGTATCGGTTAGTAATCCTCCTGGTCTTGTATGGGCATATACAATGTTTTGCCCGGGCAATTTTCCATCACAGTTCTAGCAGGTACAGATGCACTCAAAAGTCTTGTTGGCTTCTTGTTGCAGACAAGTGGAAGCAGGCGTGTGGCATGGACAGCGACCCCTGCCAGAATGGCGGGTACACGGGTGTAGACTGCTCTTGCGTGTGTCCGCAAGGAACATCCGGGTCTTCCTGCGAAACACTTGAAGAGGATTATTTTGGTAAGAATATTATCTTGATATTCTTGAATGTAATCACATATATGTATACATATATACATACACACACCCATATACATCTTCATATATACATACACACACACATTTATATATATATATATATATATATATATATATATATATATATATGTATGTATATAAATATATTGTAAGTGTACGAGACAGAGAGGACAGAGAGTGTACTTGCACCATGAGGCACCTTACTTCCTCCACTAACAGAACTACCCATTTCCCTTCAGCCTCGCAACGCAGTGACTGCAGTGCGCGCATCACAAGCCCTGGCACGGTCACCTCGCCCAACTACCCGAGTAACTACCCTTATGGTGAGTCATTCCACTCTGATGGCATGCACAGGATCCTAGTGTGAAATAGCAAAGGACAAAATATTCTCCACGAGATGGTATAATCACGCTGAGGTGTACATGCATGTATATACTATTCTATCGTTCTCTTATCGATTTCTGTAGGAGTGGTATGTGCCAAGTGGGTTGTGGCACCTGAGTGCAAGTTGCCCAGAGTCACCTTCACTGCCTTCAGGCTCTCCGACTGTTGGGACAACCTGGAGATTCGAACCAGCAACCGCTACGATGGCGACTTGTAAGTCCTCTTCAGCTTTGTTAATATGAGCAGTTATTTCATGAATATTCTCGTTTGAAGTAACATATCTCTTATTCAGTCAATTCGGTGGCAGTCCTGTTCCCCTTTCGTTGATAATCTTTTCCATGAATCGTCTTCAACAGCTACTGCGGGACCAGCATCGCCCCGGGTACCTCGTTCACCTCCACCACCAACGAGCTCATCCTGATGTTTTACACAAGGACCAATTACGAGACGGGTTGGTCTGCGGACGTCACTTTCATCGACGACCCCAACTGCAGCCCTGCTACCACTCAAGCACCAACCACTCAGCCACCAACCACACAACCACCAACCACTCAGCCACCAACCACACAACCACCAACCACTCAGCCACCAACCACACAACCACCAACCACTCAGCCACCAACCACACAACCACCAACCACTCAACCAACAACTACATCTCAACCCCCGCCAAGCTGTTCATTGCTCTCAGCCAGTGTAGGAGTCACTTGGCTTTCTCCATATTTTGGCAATGACAACTACCCCAACAACTTCAAGTGTGGAATCAGAGGAAGCACCGTAAGAATCCTAAGAGTCCCTGTATATCAGTTTTTAGTAAGGAAGAGTAATAATCATATATCAGTCTCTTTTGGAATCAAGTTTATTGATTAAGACGTCTTCTTTTTCCCAGTCCTCACCCTATATGGCCACCTTCAAGATGAACTCCTTCCAGCTGCAGAAGAAGAAGCGTAGGCAGTGCCTTGACTACGTTGGGATTCAGATTCCTTACAATAGGACCGTGAAGTAAAGAATGGTTGCTTGAACTTGAACTTTAAACTCTTTTAGTATAGGATTCCACCTAGATTTTGTGTCGCGTATTTTCTTTTGGTAGACTTTGATTAGCATACAGAGTTCTATTTCTCTGGAAAAGGGTGTGTGGGAGTACAAAAATAAAAGAAAATAAGGTTGGAATATCCAGTTTTATAATGCTAACACCGAATGATATAGCTTTGCATCGACACGTTCAATGAATGTTATACTCTAGTCTTACATATGTTTCCTACACCAGGCTCTGCGGCAAAAGGAGAGGGGCCGTCCTTGTCCCGGTCCTGAATCTAAGGGCCAACTTCGTCACCGATAACGCTATAACGGACGCCGGTTTCAACTTCAGCATCACATGGGAAAAAACTGGATGTCACCAAGTCATCGAACTTTCGGACGACTCCGCGACGGGCGTCATCCAGAGTCCGAGATTCCCGAAGAAATATCCCAAGAATTCCGTCTGCGAGTGGTGGATTGTGGTAAGTTCATGCTACGCAACCGGTCAGAAATGTTGGGAACCTGTAAGAGAAAAGTCCATTTCTGACACTGTCTCTCTCAAAATATTTCCAGGCACCCGAGGGTAAAAGAATTCAACTGGAATTCACACAAATCAGCATTCGGGACAAGAAGTGCCTTAATGCTTACATCGCAGTGGACAGGTCGGGCAAGGCCTCCTACCTGAGGGACGACAGCTCGCTTCTCTGCGCTGCCCACAAGTCGGCGGACGTTCTCTCCGACGGCAACACTGTGAACGTCGCTTTCGCCGGCGGACGGAGGCGGTCTCGGGGCTTCTCCGCTCGCTACACGGTCGTGTGACGCGTGTCGGCTTGGAAGGAGGGACGCGGTGCTGAGGGCTTTTTCTTGTGACACGAGCACGCACATTTTTGCATATACAAACCACACGCATATTTTTGCATATACAAACCACACGCATATTTTTGCATATTTAAACCAAACGCACATTTTTACATATATAAACTATATGCACATATTTACATATATAAACCACACGCACATTTTACATATAAAAACGACGACCACATATTTACATATATAAACCACACACACACATTGATACATAAATAAACCACACGCACGTGTATATTCCTACATATAAGGACTGTGCACACATGTATCCACACATAAAAATGTGCTTACCAATGCCCACACACAAATAAGGCCTAATATATTCACTTCACGCACAAAAACACATTTGTGTATGAAAATGATAATTATGAAATTAATACTTCAAAATATCTATGGAACCATCTGTTACCATAAGCAATTTAATTGGCTTCATTTAATAAATCTGTTTTGGAAAAATAAATAATTGATGCCTAAGTGACTTTTCATCTATAACCATGAATCTTTGGTGTCATTTATTGAAATCTGAACGTATGTCTTTGATTCCAGGTCGTGATATTTATAAAAAGTGTTTTCCAATGCTTCTTGTTCCCTCCGTACCTGGGAACTTTTTATATATCAAAATTTACAGACTAATAAAGAACATTGATATACAGACACTATGGAGCTGCACATACACACACACACACACACACACACACACACACACACACACACACACACACACACACACAACACACAACATATATATAATATACATATGTATATATATTTATATGTATATATTATATATATATATATATATAATATATACACACACACACATACAACACACACACACACACACACACACACACACACACACACACACACAACACACATATATATATATAATATATTATATATATATATATATATATATATATATTATATATCTTATTATACATTGTATTTTCTGCATACATTTAATAATATATATATATATATATATATATTATATATATATATTATATATATGTGTGTGTGTGTGTGGTGTGTGTGTGTGTGTGTGTGTGTGTGTGTGTGTGTGTGTGTTGTGTGTGTGTGTGTATCGTGTGTGTATATATTTATATATGTATATACAAATGCAATATATACATACATGTATATATGTATATATACACACATACACTCACACATACACTCACACACACACACACACGCACACACACACATATATATACATACTATATATATATATATATATATATATATATATATATATATATATATATATATATATGTATATATATACACACATACATACACACACACATATACACACACACATATATACTTATATATATTACATGTATACATGTCATGTATTATATATTAGATATAATGGTATGTAATATATGCACACCACACATACACGTCTGTGTGTGTATATATATGTATATATAATATGTATATATTTACATATTTATGTGTATGTGTGTTGTTAGCATACATATATACATTATATATATATACATATATATATATATAATATATACTGTATATATATAATATATTTGTGTGTGTGTGTGTGTGTGTGTGTGTGTGTTTTGTGTGGATGTGGATGTGTGTGTGTGTGTGTGTGTGTTTGTGTGTGAGTGTGTATACACATTTATTTGTATATATATGTATAATATATGTATAAATATATATATATATACACATCAATGTGTATATATGTATATTTATGTATATATAGTATATATATATATATATATATATTCTAAATATCTATCTATCTATCTGTCTGTCTATCTATCTATCCATTTCTATCTATCTATCTATCTATAAAGTATGTTTGTTTGTTTTGTATATATATGTATATGTATGTAATATGTATATATATGTATATATAATATATGATTTATATATATGTATATATATATTATATATATATATATATATATATATTTATTATATATATATTATACATATTATGTGCATATACTATATGTATAATACATACATATATATATATATAATATTAATATATATATATATATATATATATATATATATATATATATATATATATATATATATATATATATATATATATATATATATATATATATATAATGTGTGTGCAGCATAAGTATTCGGATATTTAAGGATTTCACCAATACGTATGACTGCCATTTTCTCCTTCGCCGAGTGCCTGTCTGCCGTCCCATCACTGCGCATCTGGCAACGGGCAGTGATGCATCATTCATGTCAAAGGTCAAATATAATCATATGGAATACATATGGGCGAACACATATGCGTATTTCTATGGCTGTGTGCGTTCCTCTGTTTGTGTTGCTCATTTTCATTTATGTATCAAATCAGTGAAACCTTTCTAACCACAAAAGCACCACCAAGCTTCGAAAAAATACAAACATACATGTGCACACACAACACACACACACACATATACCACATATAGAGAGAGAAAAGAGATATATGCACATATATCTATCAATATCTATAAATACAAACACACATGCGCACACGCACACACATGCATGCATGCACACATATATTTTGTATAAATATTGTGTGTGCGAGTGTGTTTAAACATTGTTCATTATGGAGTTATTCATTAAGATTGTGTTTATGGTTATGAATACGATTTTAATTCTGATTTCAGATGCAAAATATATCTTAATTATAAACTCACAAACTGCTACTGAGCACTTAACAGCCATTCGACGATATCTGATGATCTTTATGTCAGCAATACTCTTACAACATCTGTGGGTTAGTTGTACAGGTAGAAGAACACTGGCAAGTCATCACCCAGTAAGTTGATGGCTACGACTGTATCAGTGGATGGTGTTCTTGTAGGTGGATTTTATATGCTATTTTACATGTATAAAACAGCCATGAATATAATGCTGGCAACCATACGTAATATATATAATGTTGGCAGAACCGCTGCTATCGCAAGGTCGGGGGTAGTCAACATACAATGATTCTGTTACATGATATTTAGTTAGCAAGTTCATATTGTGAAAGTCTGTATAAAAATCTGTTTCCATTATGTGTTATATACAAAGACCAGAAGTGTGTCAGAGAGAAGCATATAATGCGTATGGAATATGTACCATGCTTTACGATATCTGGGCACTCAACACTAAAAAAGAGGTTCTAATTTTCTCCAACATTTTGTGTATATACACATATTCACTATGGTTTTACAGGGTGCATGACCGCACTGCAAATGGCCTATCATCATTCCTATTATTTAGTCCAGGTCTTAAGCGTGTATTAAAACGGACATTCCGATGTGACTCGCTATTCCCTCCACCACTTCTCCCTGACAACTTTCCTCCCTTCAAAAGTTTTATGTACTTGTCATGTGGTCAGCATAGCTAATATTTGCGTGATTCTAGTGATATAGGTATTAACAAAAAGGAATAAGGTATTTAATCAAATTATAATGATAAGGCCAAGAATAGTGTTGATATACTGCTGAAGGTAATAACGGCAATCAGAAAGATATCGCACCGCCATTAACCCTTTAGCGACCAATTGTCCTTTACGGGCTCTAGCCACTAAGGTTGAAAATCGTTTACGCTAAAGATTTTAGAAAAATCCAGTGAAATCAGCATTAACTTCGGTGATGTACAATTGCTAATCATTATTATTGAACGACATGACTGGTCTGACATGACCTGAACTGATGTAAGATGACTTGATCTGATGTAAGCTGACCTGATATTAGATCAGGTCAGATCACTTCATATCACGTCAGATCAGGTCAAATCAAATCATATCAGGTAAGATCACATCAGATCAGGTCAAATCACATCAGATCAGGTCAAATCACACAGGTCAAATGTCATCAGGTCAGGTCAAATTTCATCAGGTAAGGTCAGATCACTTCAAAACAGGTCAAATCACATCAGATCAGGTTAAATCATATCAGGTCAGGTCAAATCACATTAGATCAGGTTAAATCACATCAGGTCAGGTCACATAAAAAAAACGGCCAGACCACATCATATGTGATCAGATTACATTAGATCAGGCCAGATAGCATCAGATAAGGTCAAATTAGATTAAGTCAGATTACATCAAACCAGATCAGGTTAAATTAAATAACATTAGATCAGATGACATCGTCAAGTCAATCAGGTCGGGTCACCTCAAATACGGTCAGATCAGATCAGGTCAGATTATATCAGATCAGGTCATATTACAACAGATCAGGTCAGATCACATCAGATCAGATCAGGTCAGATTACAACAGATCAGGTCAGATCATATCAGAAAAGGTCAAATCACATCAGATCAGGTCAGATCACATCGGATCAAATCAGGTCAGATTACATCATATCATATCAGATAAGGTCAAATCACATCAGATCAGGTCAGGTCAGATTACATAAGATCAGGTCACATCAGATCAGTTCAGATCACATCAAACCACTTCAGGTCAGGTCATATCACATCAGATCTGGTCTGACATGATCTGATATTATTTGACCTGATCTGATGTGAGCTGATCAATATGATGAAATCTGACCTGATCTAATGTAATCGTGTGATGTTGCAGATAAAATTATCTCAAATAAGGTAAGATCAGGTCAATTCAGGTAAAATCATGTCAGGTCATGTCATGTCACATACGATCAGATCTGGCCAGGTCACATAAGATAAGGTCAGATTACATTGGATCACATCAGATCAATTTCCATCGCATAATATAAGGTTAGATCACATCAAATCGTAACAGGCCAGGTTATATTACTTCAGATCAGATCAAATTACATCAGACAAGGTCGGTTCACATCAGATCAGGTCAAATTACCGTAGGATTATTTCATATTTCATCAGATCAGGTCAATTCATCAGAATAGGTCAGATCACATCAGATGAGATCAGATCACATCAGATGAGATCAGATCACATCAGATGAGATCAGATCAGAGATATCAGATCACATCAGATGAGATCAGATCATCAGATGAGATCAGATCACATCAGATGAGATCAGACATCAAGATGAGATCAGACCACATTAGATGAGATCAGATCACATCAGAGGAGATCAGATCACATCAGATGAGATCAGATCACATCAGATGAGATCAGATCACATCAGATGAGATCAGATCAGATGAGATCAGACACATAGATGAGATCAGATCACATCAGATGATATCAGAGATGAGATCAGATCACATCAGATGATCAGATCACATCATCAGATCAGATGAGATCAGATCACATCAGATGAGATCAGATACATCAGATGAGATCAGATCACATCAGATGAGATCAGATCAGATGAGATCAGATCACATCAGATGATCAGATCATCACATCAGATGAGATCAGATATCAGATGAGATCAGATCAGATGATATCAGTCAGATGAGATCAGATCAGATCACATCAGATGAGATCAGATCACATCAGATGAGATCATATCACATCAGATGAGATCATATCACATCAGATGAGATCAGATCACATCAGATGAGATCATATCACATCAGATGAGATCAGATCACATCAGATGAGATCAGATCACATCAGAATATGTCCGATCACATCAGGTCAGGTCACATCACTGTTCACATCAAATAATCACATCAGGTCAGGTCAGATCAGGTCAGGTCAGATCACATCAGATCAAATCAAATCACATCAGATCAGGTCAAGTCAGATCAGATCAGTTCATATCACAATAGATCAGGCCATCAGGTGAAGTCAGATCACATCAAATCAGTTCAGATTGCTTCAGATCAGGTCATATCACATCAAATTAAATAAAATCAGGTCAGATTACATCGCATCAGGCCAGATCACATCAGATCAGGTCAATTCACGTCAGATAAGATCAGGTCACATCAGATACGGTCACACCAGCTACAGTCACATCACGGCGGATCACGTCAGATTACATACGATCAGTTCATATTGCTTCAGATCAAGTTAGATCAAAATAGGACCAGGTCAATTCACATTAGATTAGGTCCGGTCTCATCAAATACGGTCAAATCACATGGGATCATGTCACATCACGTTAGATCAGGTCAGATCGCATCAGATCAGGTCAGATTACATCAGATCGGGTCACATGAAATATATCCAGATCACATCATATCAGGTCATTTCACATCAGATCACATCAAATAAGGTCAATTAACGTCAGGTCACCTCAAATACGGGCAGATGAGATTAAGGACTTGAGGAATTAATAAATAAACAAAATAACTTAAAAATACTCGAATATTCCAAAGTTTTGATAGCTTTAAAATACCGAAATCCTTCTCGATCAATCCGCTATCACTAATTTCATTTGATGAAACCATTATTCTTTAATCACTAGGCATTGTTAGAGAGAAAAAATCAGCGGTATGAGTTAGTTTACAGGACACGTCGAGGGAGACATTCCTATAAGCAAAATAACCTCGCGAATAGATAACTTCCCTGCAGTTTCAACTCTACTTTGAAAGTTGTTTGCTTCTTGGAATGTGTGAAAAAATACAGTGTATTATTATTCATACACAAACACACATATATATACTTATATATATGTGTGTGTGTGCATGCATGAATATATGTGTATGCATGTATATGTATATGTTTATTTACATATATATTGTATAATATTCCACACGTGCATATATATATATATATATATATATATATATATATATATATATATATATATATTATATATATATATATATATATATATATATTCCTGGACCCACACACACTGCGATGCTGAATGAATGTTTTGATGAACGCATATAATGTCCAGGATGCATACTTGCATATGTGCAAACACAACACAAACCTACGCTCACAACCCTAAATGTACTTAATCGTGTGTGCTTGAATGGATGAGCGATAAGTATTCACCTATTCCATGCCTCCTTTCTACTTAATTAATTCTGACCTTTGCCTTGAATATCCCATCACTGAATTTTGACCGCTTGAATATCGCTAATCCTTCGCAGGTGTCCTTAGCCAGAGATCGGACAGAAGGCCAGTATAAAGGCTGCGCTTGACGGAGAACACAGCAGTTTCCACCGGACTCTGGAAGGAACAAGATGGCGTTCGCGAAGGCCTTGTGTCTGCTCCTCATTCCTTGCCTCGCGCTGACTCAGGTAACTCCGCGAAGCCCTTTTCATTTCATTGCCTCTCTTTTCCTTGCTTCGTTTTAAGCAAATAATACTATATCCATTTAGCATTGCCTTGCGTCTATGTAAATTCACGTCATTTGAAAGAAATGGTGGCCTCTGTCGATCATCTGTACAAAAGAGAAGGACCTATGTATATCAATTAATTTTTGTCAGCTCAGACTCGCAAATGTCCTTTCAGAGCGTGCTTGGAGAGACGACCCCGGATTACAACATATATTACGTAAGTGGTTTTAACCTTTTTCTGCACTGTAGTTTTACATACTTTTGCGGCAACAGATATTCTACGAAATTAACTTGCACTTTTGTTTTTCTGTTGTGCTTCTACAGTTCCAATGGAGAAGTCCCTCTAAATTTTCACATGTAGGTAAAATATAACAAGAGTAATTCAGTCATCAAACACGTTCTTAATCCAGTTATGATCATCTTATGTATCCTATTCCTTTTCTCTCTCTCTCTTTCTTTCCCTTTCTCTGTCTTTTTATGTCTCTGCCTCTTTCATTCAAAAAAAAAAAAAAAAATGAAAGCTAGTTTATACATTTACCGTAGATATAAAATACTTCGAGACATTTCAAACACCTTTTCCTTCCTAGGAAGAGCGACAGGACAGCAATGAGCCGCATATTGTACTCAACCGCGTAAGTACATTATTGTGATAATAATTATAATGATAATGATATTAACAGTAATAATAGTGATAATTACAATGGTGATAACAAAGGATATTAGTGCATTGATTTGATAAAAGGTAAACATTTACTACAACTGATGCATTTTACTGAGTGCATTATTCGGAAAGACTTTTGTAACAAAAATATATACAATATATTGTGAAAAAAAAACTGAAAAGCCGCTTCTTAGTACTCCTGTGTTAAACATTTCAGTAATCATTATCATGTTGATTTTGACTTGATCTCGTACTATACTTTATAAAACAGACGAGACATACAATTCAGTTGCATCGTTGTCGCAGTTTTACAGCTATGTTGATTGCATAAGTAGATATATCACTTGCCATATATTACTTATTTTGAAATATTCTTTTTTTCTTTCACAGAATATGAAAGAGCATAGGAGTATACCCAAAGAAGGCTTCACTATTCTGGTGAGTGAATGTGCCAGACACCTATACACATTCTAGGTCAAGGTGTGCTGGTATGAAAACACGAATGAGTATATCACCTTGAGTTTATAAAGCTGCAAAAAGTCTATGATGGCCGCATGCTAAACGTGCGAAACAAACAAGTTTGTCACTCATGGCGTTCCTGTTCATTCGTTCACAGCCGAGGCCCTTCGAGGAGACCAATCCTGACCGAGTCGAGGCCGGCCAGCTGTTCGACAAGGACATGCTGCTGACGGAGGCGCAGTGGAGGGACCTCGCCTTGAGGAAGGGCCTGGCCTCTCAGAACTACCGCTGGCCAGAGAGCGGAGACGGTTTCCCGCACGTGCCTTACCGCTTCGCCGACGGTCAGTGGTCCTGCGAGGAGTGACTCGGCCGATTTGGTTTGTTTTATTTGGAAAAAATATGTGTACATAAGAAGAAATGTCACTCATGAAGTCTCTCCCAACCCAGCTAACGTGAACCAGGTCGCGGTCAAAGCCGGCATCGCGCACTGGGAGCAGCACACCTGCCTCAAGTTCGACCTGACCACCAATGAGAACCAGCCTCACCTCAAGTTCCAGAAAGGTTCCGGATGCTGGTCGTACGTCGGATACATCTCGCAGTATTCCACCGGCCAAGACATCTCCATCGGCCAAGGCTGCACCTCCGTGAGTTCACCTGCATTTTCAGTATTGCAATGCACGCATATAGGAAATGGTGATTAGTTTTGATAAACACTCTTGCATTGCAATCACCTTTCTCATCTTCCTCTCCTGCAGCTGGGCACAGTCGCCCACGAAATCGGCCACGCCATCGGCTTCTACCACGAACAGTCCCGCCCGGATCGCGACGACAGCATCCACATCAATGAGGAAAACATCGTGTACGGAAGAGAAAACAACTTTGCCAAGATATCCGACAGTTTTGTGGACAGTCAAGGAATTCCATACGATTACTCAAGTGACATGCATTACAGCGGATTTGTAAGTATTCTTCAATCACTTGTGGAGTCTTCTCTATGAACAGGACACCTGGGTTGACTTTCTTTTGCATGAAAGTGACGGCAATCTCACCAATGTATTCTAACCAAGAGCCGTTCACCCCTCAGGGCTTCTCGAAGAACGGCCGCCTGACCATCGCCACGGTGGACCCCCGCAACCAGGAGCTGATCGGACGTCGCAACGGCCTGTCGCACCGGGACACGCACCTCGCCAACCTCATGTACGGATGCATCGGTTAGTAATCCTCCTGGTCTTGCATGGACATATGTAATATTTTGCCTGAGAGATTTTCCTTCGTAGTTCTAGCAAGGCAAAGAAGCACTCAAAAGTCTCGCTGGTTTCTCTCTGCAGACAAGTGGAAGCAGGCGTGTAGCATGGACAGCGACCCCTGCCAGAACGGCGGGTACACTGGTGCAAACTGCGCGTGCGTGTGTCCGCAAGGAACATCCGGGTCTTCCTGCGAAACACTCGAAGAGGATTATTTTGGTAATAATATTTTTAGATTTTCAAGAATGTAAACATGTATATATACATGTACTCACATCACATGTATATATTGATGCATATAATATATATGTATACATATAAATGTATATATACATATATGTATATTTACGTATATATGTACATATGCATATATATGTATATATCTAAATGTGTGCAGATATATACATGCGAGAGAGAGGAAGAGAGATTGTGTGTGTGTGCTTCCACCATGAGGGACCTTACTTCCTCCACTAACAGAACTACCCATTTCCCTTCAGCCTCGCAACGCAGTGACTGCAGTGCGCGCATCACAAGCCCTGGCACGGTCACCTCGCCCAACTACCCGAGTAACTACCCTTATGGTGAGTCATTCCACTCTGATGGCATGCACAGGATCCTAGTGAAATAGCAAAGACACAAAATATCTCCACGAGATGGTATAATCACACTGAGGTGTATATGCATGTATATACTATTCTGTCGTTCTCTTATCGATTTCTGTAGGAGTGGTATGTGCCAAGTGGGTTGTGGCACCTGAGTGCAAGTTGCCCAGAGTCACCTTCACTGCCTTCAGGCTCTCCGACTGTTCGGACAAGCTGGAGATTCGAACCAGCAACCGCTACGATGGCGACTTGTAAGTCCTCTTCAACTTTATGAATACAGTCAATTATTTCACGAATATTCTCCTTACAAGTATTCTGTAACACGTCTCTTATTCAGTCAATTCGGTGGCAGTCCTGTTCCCTTTCGGTTGATAATCTGTTCCATGAATCGTCTTCAACAGCTACTGCGGGACCAGCATCGCCCCGGGTACCTCGTTCACCTCCACCACCAACGAGCTCATCCTGATGTTTTACACAAGGACCAATTCCGAGACGGGTTGGTCTGCGGACGTCACTTTCATCGACGACCCCAACTGCAGCCCTGCTACCACACAACCACCAACCACTCAGCCACCAACCACACAACCACCAACCACTCAGCCACCACACAACCTTCTCCACGCTGTTCTTTACTCTCTGCCAGCAATGGAGTGACTTGGCTGTCCCCCAACTTCGGCTTCGAGAACTATCCCAACGACTTCACTTGTGGTCTTAAGGGAACCGCTGTAAGAATCATGAACGATTTCCCTCCATGTTAATATTTCTCATGAGAAATAGTTGTTAATACATCACATAAGTCGAAATGTGTCACATGAGAAGTGGTAGTATATCCCATGAAAAGTGTAGTTAGTGTATGGCATGAAAAACCATGTATCCCATGTTAAGTATTCAGTACTGACGTCTTCCTCTTCCAGGGCTCACCTTACATGACCACCTTCAAGATCAACTCCTTCCAAACCAGAAGAAGAAGCTCAAGAAATGCGTCGACTTCGTTGGGATTCAGATTCCTTACAACAGGACCGTGAAGTAAGGACTGGCATAAATATTCTTGGAAGTATTATTAGAGGGATTAGTGGTAGGGGTATCCCATCAGAAGATATTCCTTCACTGGATGAGGATGGTGGGGGAGATGCAGATAAATAAATAAATAAATATATATATATATACAATATTGTCAAAAAAGAAAAAGAAATGTAAACTGTAAGGTATACTCACTGACAAAGTTATTAATGGCCGAGGCATCCTTTTACATGACATTTCCTATCTCAGGCTCTGCGGTGCAAGGAAAGGGTCCATTTTTGTTCCGAACCTGAATCTGGAAGCCAACTTCGTCACCGACAACGCTGTAACGGACGTCGGATTCAACGTCAGCATCACGTGGCAAAAGACGGAGTGTCACCGCGTCATCGAACTTTCGGACGACTCCGCGACGGGCGTCATCCAGAGTCCGAGATTCCCAGAGAATTATCCGAAGAATTCCGTCTGCGAGTGGTGGATTGTGGTAAGTTCATGCTACAACTACGATCAGAAATTAATGTTAGGAACCTGTAAGAGAAAAGTCAATTTCTGACACTGTCTCTTTCAAAATATTTCCAGGCACCCGAGGGTAAAAGAATTCAACTGGAATTCACACAAATCAACATTCGGGACAAGAAGTGCCTTAATGCTTACATCGCAGTGGACAGGTCGGGCAAGGCCTCCTACCTGAGGGACGACAGCTCGCTTCTCTGCGCTGCCCACAAGTCGGCGGACGTTCTCTCCGACGGCAACACACCGTGAACGTCGCTTTCGCCGGCGGACGGAGGCGGTCTCGGGGCTTCTCCGCTCGCTACACGTCGTGTGTGACGCGAGTCGGCTTGGAAGGAGGGACGCGGTGCTGAGGGCTTTTCTCTTTGATTTAAACACGCACATTTTTGCATGTAGAAACCACACGCATATTTTTGCATATTGAAACCAAACGCACATTTTACATATAAAAGCGACGACTACATTTTTACATACATAAATCACACACACACATAAATAAACCACACGTACGCGTATATACGTATATAGGGACTATACACACATGTACCCACACATAAAAATGTGCTCACACATGCCCACACACACATCAAGCTTAATATATTCACTTCACGCACAAAAAACACTTTTGTGTATGAAAATATTAATTATGAAATTAGTACTTCAAAATACCTATGGAACCATCTGTTACCATAAGCAATTTAATTGGCTTCATTTAATAAATCTGTCTTGGAAAAATAAATAATTGATGCCTAAGTGACTTTTCATCTATAACCATAAATCTTTGGTGTTTTTATTGAAATCTGAACGTATGTCTTTGATTCCAGGTCGTGATATTTATAAAGAGTGCATTCCAATGCTTCTTGTTCCCTCCGTACCTGGGAACTTTTTATATATCAAAATTTACAGACTAATAAAGAACATTGGTATACAGACATTATGGAGCTGCACACACACACACACACACACACACACACACACACACACACACACACACACACACACACACACATATATATATATATATATATATATATATATATATATATATATATATATATACATTGTGTGTATTATATTTATGTATATGTATATATATTTAAATATGTACATATATATATATACACATGCACACACTCACACACATACACTCACTCACACACATATATATATATGTGTGTGTGTGTACGTATATGCATATATATATATATATATATATATATATATATATATATATATAATATTATATGTTTGCGTACATTATATATATATATATATATATATATATATATATATATATATATATATATATATATATATGTATATATATACATATATACACACATACACTCACACACACACACACACAACACACACACACACACACACACACACACAACACACACACACACACACACACACACACACACACACACACACACACACACACACATATATATATATATACACACACATATATATATACTTATATATATATATATATATATATATATATATATATATATTATATATATTGTGAAGTGTATTAATTACCAAGAGGGCGTGGCACTCCAGTTGGCACTCTTCCTGCGACACTGTGCGCACTTGTCACCTGCGCGTGACTTCTATGGTTCCCCCTAAGCCCGTTTTCTTTCCCCTCGTTATGTTTACATTAATGTTGCAGTTGTTGGTTTTATGGATCCCACTTTTAGTTTAGTATTTTTGATTGCGTTTTTATTTTATTTAATTTCTAAATCCAGTTGTGACCTCCCCGAATTAAGTTATCAGTATTTCTGATTGAGACATGACGTTGCATTTTTTTTCTTGATTTTTATTTGTTTTACATCTTTTACTTCCTCTGAAGATATATATTTTTCTAGCAATTTTATTTTGTTTTTTATACATTTTAGAACATCTGAAATCTTGATTTGACAGTTTTATAAATTAGTCGAGGGTTTATCACTCCCATGACGTATTTTTTTTTTTTACATGTTCTTATTTTCTTTAATCTATTTTACTAATGTGGTACAGGGTGTTATTTTATTATTTTAATTACTTTCCATGTTTTATAGAATTTCTTAGGTTTTAATTTTTTTTTCTGCTTCATCATTTGAATGTTTTATCGATTATTCCTAATCTTTCTTATTTCTGCAATTGGTAAGCCTTTAACATAATTTTTAGTAATAATTTTGTTTTATGAATCATTTTATCATAATTGTGTATTTTATCTGTATTTATTATTTTATATGTATAAAAATGTTTCGTCGTTCCGTGACGTCACGGATCCTGGAGCCTCCAGGACGTGAAACAATAAACAGTGTCAACTGGACTTTGTCGCGTTTCCATCCCCTCTCTGCAGCAGCCAGAATCTCAGGTTGTACTGACCCCGTTGTGTTACTTGCCTAGGTACTATTAAAGCTGGACGTGAACCATTTATTGCAGTGATAAAGGCAGACAAGGCGTAAATACAGACGAAGCCAAAGTGACAGTATATACCCAGTGATGCTCATTTAACTTTTAATTCACGTTTTATTTTTCAAGTTTCCTTTTAATTTTTTAGCAGTAATGTTGCAGCAAGTGTTGGTGCTCATTTTTGTTTTGTTTTAACGTAATATTTCCTTTTTTTTAATGTCTGCCTTTCATTTTACGTAGGAATTTATTTTTTTACCATACTTTTAATCAACTCTTACTCTGATTCTACTCTACTCTAACCCTGGACTCAAACTCACTCGATTCTCTCGCTCATTCTCTCGTTCTCTTGCTCATTCTCGCTCGTTCTCTCGCTCAGTTCTCTCGTTCCTCGTCTCTCCTCGTTCTCTCGCTCATTCTCTCCTCTCTCGCGCCTTGTTCTCTCTCATCATCTCTCGTTCTCTCGCTCATTCTCGCTCGTTCTCTCGATCATTCTTCCTCGTTCTCTCGGCCTCGTTCTCTCGCTCACTCTCCTCGTTCTCTCGCTCATTCTCGCTCGCTCTCGCTCTCTCTCGCTCTCGCTCATTCTCGTCTCTCGCTCATTCTCTCGTTCTCTCGCTCATTCTCTCCTCGTTCTCTCGCTCATTCTCTCGTCTCGTCTCTCCTCGCTCTCGCTCATTCTCTCTCGTTCTCTCGCTCTCTCTCATCTCTCGTCGTCTCCTCGTCTCTCGCTCATTCTCTCCTCGTTCTCTCGCTCACTCTCTCCTCGTTCTCTCGCTCATTCTCTCCTCGTTCTCTCGCTCATTCTCTCCTCGTTCTATTGCGGAAGGACTCTAGAGAAGGAAAAGCAACACCCTAAATAGATTCTCTTCAACATTTTTTTTTATTTCAAGAGGAGTGAACGGGACCCCTGATCTCACTTGGTCCCTAAGCCTCTCCTGCCTCACGGGAGATAATTCGGGCTCCTCTATACGGATTGGTACCTGGCATTAAGCCGGGAGTATACCTTACAACACAGATATAAATTTTGGTGGCAGCGGCGGGAGGTTTGCTGTCTTGCTAGAGTCCTTCCAGCAATTACGTCCAGCACATTTAGCTACTTTCCGTTAGGTTATGTCAACCTTGTTTGTAGCCTCTTAAGAGGACTTTTGGAGAGCCTTGTTTTATGAATATTGTGTATCTGTAGTGTTCAAGAGCGGCACCCATTTATTTCAGCTTAATCATATCTCTTGCAGAGATAGTTACATGAACTAATGCCCGCTCGCCCAGCTAGTAGTGACCTTGGCTCTCGTTAGGCATAGGGACACTGTATATATTTCCCATGTCCATGTTCTAATGCCTTACAGTTTAACAGATAAACTGTGTTCAACAACTGTGTGTTTCAGAGTTACTGAATGACTTCGTTCAATGTATCTGTCTGTGTTTTGTACTACCTTGTGTTAAATACCATGTGTTAAGCACCATGTGTTAAGCGCCCTGTGTAAGTGCGTGTGGTGTTAAAAGTGTGTTAAGTGTGTTAAAGTGTGTTAAGTGCGTGTTTGGTGTTAAGTGTGTTAAGTGCCCGTGTTAAGTGCGTGTTTTGTATTACCTGTGTTAAAACCGTGTTCGGTGTTGCCGTGTTCGGTGTTAAGTGTTGCCCCGTGTTCGGTGTTGCCCCGTGTTCGGTGTTGCCC